GTCAAAAGTTCTTTTGACCCTCTACTGTTTCAAAGGAGTGATCAGAGGTGAGTAGAGACTGAAGTGCTTCTTCTCCCCTGCCCAAAAGGTCAGATAGAAAGCAGTGGATGATGCCTTTCTGTTTAGGGAACCCTTACATCTGATAATGAATACTGTTAACCCCCATAAAAGATTAACCCAGTAAATGGACAAGACCAAGGTACCAGAGCTTCCTAAAGGGTTCCTGGCTGCAGTCTAAGGTACTATCTTACAAGTGCTCACACACATTTTAAGGGCAAGGCTACATGATAGAGTGGAGAGAGTAGAGTGCTAACAATCAGGAAGACCTAACTCAGATGCACTTTAATTTTTTTTTATTCTAAACTTAGTAAATACCAAATAAAATGGGCATTTCTATACACATGGTAAAACAGAAAAAGAAGACTGGCCATGACACTGAAGATCTCCAGTGCGTACAGCTTTGCTTTTCTTTTTGAGTATATAGCAAGTTCAACCTGTGGCTTTCAGAGCTGTCCAGCCTTTCTGTGCTTCTTTGTGTGATGGGGCCAAGTCACTTACACTCTCCGCTTCAGTTTCCTCCTCTGTAAATCTGGGATAATAGCACATGTATCCCACAGGACTTTTGTGAGGATCACACAATATAACCCATGTAAAAGAGCTATAGAAAGGGTTTTATTATTTTGTCCGTAGCATAGTGCTTTGCACATAGTAGGCACGAAACAAATGAAAAAGACTTTAACTGAATCACAGTCACTTAAGCCTTTGTTATGTCTCTGCTCATGCTATTCACTGCCCCCTCCCCCACACCAGTAATGTCCTTCCTTTTCGACATCCCATAGGAATCCTATCCTTCCCTCTGTCCAGATTAACAAGGAAGGTTCCAATCCACCCCCTGCCTCCCAGCCACTACTACAAATTTCCTTCCTATGCTGCTCAATTTACTATCTCCTTGGCAAAAATAAAAGCCAACCTTCCTCCCCTCTCCACCCCCAAACACCCAACACAGGTCATCAAGACCAATTCCTCTACATGTAACCTCCTTATCATCCCCTGACCATTTTCTTGAATAGATTACCCTGATTACCATGTCCCCCTCTCTAATCTTCAGTACCCCCCTCTAGTATTGATTCCTTCCCATGTGCTGGCAAACACACCCAAGTAAAACTTCATTCCTAAAAAAATCTTAGCATCCTTCTAGCAATTCTTATTTTTCTCCTTCCCTTCTCAGCTCATTGAAAAATATTCCACAGACTTTCAGTCAAGTTAGTAGCCTGGGCAAGTGGCCCAATTCCCCTACATCTACTTCAGCAAAACAATGAAGTTCCTACCAGACTGAATAACGATCAGGCAATCCAATCAGAAGCTGTTAAGTGACATCTTCTACCCCAAAATTACACAAAGAGTTAGGTTTCCCGTTGATCCCTCCCAGGACTTAGGGCCGGTACTGGGTAACTTTCCAGTAGGACCAAAGATGTCTCAATCATTCTGTCGTGTCTGGTTGCAACTTCCACAAGAATGCCCCAGGGAGGGGAACCAGGAAGCCCCAATGACCACCAAGGTGACAAAATACTTAAGAGTAGGATGGACACAGCCTAGGGGCTTTAAAGTCCCTAACTCGGGTGGAAATCAGAACAAGATCCCAGGTGACCCAGGGCAATACCAAGCAGGGCTGACTAATTCACACAGAAGTGTGAAGAGGGTTGGGAGCAGAGCCCCACCCTAGCACAAAGCCCCAGCTCAGTAACTAAAGCTGGAGAGATGAGTAAAACACTAACTAGTACTGAAAATTGTTGTAGTTCTAGAGATCTCCAACACAAGGAAGGAATAACTTTGAGCAGCAAATCAAAAGAAAATAATTTCCACAGACTATAATACCTAGAAAGAAACAAAACTGAAGGAGGGGGGGACCTCTAGAGGAAAATATTAGAAGAAAAAATAACTTAGAAAAAGGAGTAGGGGCAGCTAGGTGGTGCAGTGGATACAGCACCAACCCTGGATTCAGGAGTACCAGAGTTCAAATCCGGCCTCAGACACGTAACACTCACTAGCTGTGTGACCCTGGACAAGTCACTTAACCCCACTGCCTAGCCAAAAAAAAAAAAAAAAAGAAAGAAAGAAAAAGTAGTAAACCTACCCCAAGAAATGAATTCCCTGAAAACTATTATAGATCAAACAGAAATCAAGTGAGACCAACACACACACACACACACACACACACACATACACACACACATCTATCTCAAGACTGAAAAAGAAAAAAAAAAAGTAAGCTATCTGACCTGAAGAACAGATTGAGATGATGTAACAATCACTTGACTCCCTGAAAACCATGCCTTTTGGCAAAATAAAATGTTTTTAAAGCCTAGACACTGTATTACAAGAAATCATAAATGATGCCTCCCAAATCATTAGAACCAGAAAGAAAAGTGAAGATAGAATCCTGAAAGGAACCCCCAAAGTCCCAGTTATGTCACAGATAAAATCCAAAGCTCCCATGTCAAAGAAAAAATTCTGCAAGCATTCAGAAAGAAGCAGTTAATGTACCAAGGAAGGACCATCAGGATAACACAAGACCTAGAAACCAAAGGAGACTGGAATATAATATGCCAAAAGGGGCACAAGTGATAGGTTTCCAACCAAGTAATTGTCTCTGCAAAGCAGAGACTAATCCTAATGGGGGTGGAGAGGAGGGGAGAAGATGAATCTTTAATGGAAGAGGATTTCCAATTATTTCTGATAAAAAGACCAGAGCTAAGTAGGAACTCTGAAATACAAACACAAGAGTCCAGAGAAATCTAGAAAGTCAAGTTTATTTGAGCAATTGGAAGCTGTATGCTGATTTCGTACTAAAATATTAATAGAGAAGAAACAAGGGTCCCTTCAGCACCTTAATGTCTGTTGAGTGGCTCTGAAGGAGTATAAAAGGAGGGACACACTAGCATAAAAGGAAGGAAGAATAGGGTGGGGCCTGGTAGTTATCATCAGTGGGTTTCATGAATGATAATATACAAACACAGAAGAGGCTAGGACAACGGGCATCATATGAACACACACACACACACACACACACACACACACACACACACACACACA